CCAAGATGTTGGAGAATGAGGCAACCTTAGACCCTTTCCTTGTTTGTCTGTTGGAGCTCTGGCAGTTGTTCTTTGGGGTCATCTGGCAAAGAGGGAGGCTGAGGCTCCGTGACCCCTCATTGATAGTGTCGATGACTCCATGGAAAAGGAAAGCGAAAACAATAAAAGGCTTTCCGCCAAAGTCGGCTGGCTCACACCAGCCAGAGAGGGAGAGGGTTTGTGTGTAGTGGTGTGACTGTGTGAATGCTTAATTAGTCCAACATGTGACTAGTCCCGCTTCTCACAGCTCGGTGCCCGTGACTGACAGCATAGAGAACCTGGAAGTGACAAGGAGCAGGGGAGGTCACAGGAGAGGGAGGGAGAGAGGAAGCAAGGGGAGCTTCAGTGTGTCCACTTGTCTCACGCGATCTGGAATCACTACAGCACCTCGCATCATTCTGCTTTCATCCAGCTTGTCCTGCGTCACCTCATAAGAATGCAATTCGTCCACCAACTTGGAAGTGAAACTGTGATAATTTGATACTGATAAAAATCTGGTGTCATGACAATGAAGGACATAATGATGGGCTTAACTTTCAAAGTGAAAATTTATATGGGACCACAGCCGAAGAACAGAATCTGCCTGTCAATCACAGTGTAATGCTGATTCTCTGGGGACCTACAGAGAGCTTTGAAGATGGAAGTTATCATGAAGATTTTCCATCACATTACAGAAAATTGCAGCATTTGCACTGCCATAGCACGTCTCTGTGCTTCTTGCAACTTCCCTTTACTCTATGTATGTTTGTGGTTTGATGGTTTGTGATAGTTTGTACAGCAAATCCAGTGTTTAACTGAACAGTAAGACTCACAATTTATCATTCCTCTGTGACCCCCTCATGATTTTTGCACACCGACACTGGTTTCCAATTCAGACAACAGTGTTGAAGAGAAATGTGAGTCGTTTCTCAACCCTTGGCTTTTCAGTAAACAAGCATTTGCTGTTAGACCACTTGCCTGATTTAAATTTGAGCTAAAACAAAGAATACGGTGAGAAACAAGTCCCAAAATTTCCTGGACATTCCTGAGCTCCAGCTCCGAAGTCTGCTTTCTGTGCGTCTGCCGTCAGTTACAGTGGATCTTTGCCATGGAATTCTTTGCTCTCTTAAATTAAACCCTTCACCAGGCCCAGCTGGTTCACAAAGTTGAGAGAAGGGGAGAGGGGGAAGAAAACGGAGGAGAAGGAAAGAAGTGAGCAAATCCATCTTTCACTTCTCACGTTTGGCTTCCTCTGGATGCTGCTATTAACACCTCATGTCTGGTCGGCGCAACCCCTTTGACACCTTTTGGAGAGGAAAGAGCGAGAGAAAAGAGAAAGGGATGGAGAAACAGGCAGAACAAGAGTAAGAGAAAGAAAATGAGCGCTGAAGACAATGTTTTGATTAATGTCTCTTGTATTCCTCTGGTTCTGAAACAGAAGATTACCTTAGCTAACCCCAATGGAGCATGAGCAAGACATTTCAGTTTTGAGATTGAAACCAGATATTTCTGTTCACACTGGCTCATATCCATCACTTGTACTCCAGCCGAGTTTGAGAACATGACTGGTGACTGAAAGAGCTAGCCACGCTGTCTGGTCAGTTTTATTCCAGTGTCAGTCTCCAGTTTAAATAATGCACATGACATGTTACAGCAGGAGGCAATGAATGTGGCAGTCTGTCCCTCATCACATTTTCATTCCTCTGAAAACAAGTCTCCTTCTTTGTCAGCGAAGGTCTAGACTTGCATTTACTTGTGTACCCTCACTGAGATCATTTTTAAACCGGCCGCCACAAATGAATCACCACTGCTGGGTGATGCTCGGTTATTCACTGCCACACCATCCCAAATTTCACTTCGACAACCTGCTGCTGCACTTGTCACTGCACAGCTGTGAAAGCCAGTGGTCTTTTCTGAATGGAAACTGGCTAGTAAACTATGTTTCTGTTACACTTCTTTGAAAATCTAAATGGAGGAAACTATGATGCATTGCAGTCCTGCATCACTTACCTTCCAGTTTCCCTGGCCTCCAGTCCTCCCTCCTGTGTCGTATTGGGTTTCTGTCCCTTCCATCTTGTATTCAAGAGTTTTGACCTTTTGTAGGGGTTCCTTGTCCAAGGTCCTAAGGCAGTTGGGGTTTGAAGTGGTCTCTCGGGCTGTTATGCCTTGAGGGTCACCAAGAACATTGGCCACTACATTAAGTGTACAGAAATCCTTCAGCTTGTCAGCAATCAACTAAATACTGGGAGCAGCACCAAAGAAAAGCGATGATTTGATATCAGGGTCGTGGTGCAGACTTTCCATGTGTGTGGTTCATGACAACAAACAACATTGATGTAGACTTCCAATAATGTGTGAGCTAAGACAGGTCTATTTGTGTGAGCTGACGTGCTGTAATAATAGTAGTCCAACAAAAGCACGCTTGTTTGAGCTGACAAGATGTCGTAAATACGGCTAAACAGAGAGCTTTTGTACTAAATCTCTAACTTCCATCTACCCAAATATACAATCAGAGGATGGATGCGAAACCGACAAAGGTCCAGACTTTGTTAGCGTGTTCTCTCACTTTGACCCTGAAAATACACAACCTCCAGGGTAGTGTTTTTTACTCAAGGACAGTTTTATTTTCTCAGTGTCTAGTGATGTCAGAACTACATAAGATTAAGTTTCCTTTCCTTTTTTCTCTTTGTCTAAACCTTATGTCTGCCCAAGGCCCACACTCATGGTCACACACATAGACACACACACGCTCTCAGGCTGACTTCTGCATGTCTGCATCTCCTGATCTCAAATCAGAGAGTCGAGCTCTACGTGGCAGGTGCTGGTCGATTCTGAGCAGGACTGCCAGAGAGCCAGTTTAGGTCATGCACATGTGAGCACAGGTGGGCTAGATGATGTATGAATAAGCTAAAAGTCTGCGCAGGTCCTGTCTGTCTTCACTCTGTCTTCATGTTTCTTTTCCAGGGACATGCATAATCTCTCTGTTTCGCAGTCTGCCCTGTATATTTCCAACACTCGCACTGACAGACGCACTGATCTGGAGGCTAGACCAGACGGGATGATTTTAAAGGAACATTTCAAGCCAGACTTAGTCATTTGAAAGGTTTCAGGCATCCGCAGTGTTCCAAGTGTCTTCTAACCATCTTGGTTTTTTTTTTATCAGTTTTCCTGTCAATTCCTTAACATTTTTTATGGTATGTGGAGCTCGCTTATTAAAATGAGACAAATAAGACAGATTCCTTTTGTCAGCAAGAGACACTGGAAAAGGGAAAGCCCTAGATCAGCCTGATTTATATAAGAATTGATTACTGTTGTTATTACTTCAAGGTGTGTCTGGGGATGGTTGAGCAATCGAGGAGAATGGAGCTGAAAGCTTTGAAGGAGATGGATTATTGCAAGGGCGCTTAGCTTAGCGTCTGGGCTCGCATTGCATGCTCAGTCTGTTTGCCAAGCCCTTGGCAAGGCCAGTGCCCACATTTATTTTGACTAGGTCATGAAACTCCACACTTCCATCTTTATGTCTGTCTCTCCCAGCGCATTCCTGCTCCTCGTCAGTATCATTACCTGCACCCTGTAGAGTGCTCGGACTCCAAGCTCTCACCCTCCAGTCTTGTCTCTCGCTCTCTATCTCTCTCTTGCATGTTTCCCATGCTTAGCTGCTCTCACCCCAGACTTTTTGGCTTAGAAGTATTGATGAAAACAAGTTCCTTAGTGGACTAACTTGTTGGCAGCTTTCTTCTTGTTTCAAAAACAGTCATTACTCCAACATGTTTGTCTCTGATTGGGGAGCTTGTTCAGCTCACAGCTTCTTTTAATACAGCTCTGAGAACATGGAGTCTTGTATGTTAGCCCCAGAAAATAGGAATATATCACTTTGGCAGTTATCTGGAGATACTTAAGTTCAACTTAATGAATCTAGATTTGAATAATATCCTGCCTTCACTCACTTTTTCCATATCCTGTATATACAATGAAACGTATTACACTTGAATTACTTTGTAGCATGTTTTATGTTGTGGAATGTTTGACAAATCAAAGGTAAACAATGTAAGGCCGAGTTTTCATTACGTATTAACCTAGTTTTTTTATATTAATTTGAACATTTTGATATGTCACTTCTGTAGGATTAAACTAAAGCAATGCAATGCTCCTGTTAAAAGTATTCTTCGACAATAAAATAATCCCCACCACCAGTTCCTTCACTTGTAATGACACCTGTAATTATGCATGTGTTAAGATAAAATAGCATTTAGTTTAATATTCTCTAAATGCTACAGTACAGTGGGCCCCACTTTCCCATTTGCACTCCTAATGTTAAAGATCGTTCACTCTCTTTCGATCCATGAGCAGGTGGTGAGCATTTTATTCCATTTCCTTTCCTCTTTCCACACTTTTTTCCATTTCCCTATCTACTTCTCACATTTTTTGTTCTTGTCAGCAAGCAGAAACACAAGCTGGGATATGACTTAATTCATGCGTCAAATTGAAGCCAAAAAGTTTTTGCTGCTCATAGATTAGTTTGGGGCTTTTGGTCTCAGAAAGAACAGATTGCTCCCTCCAGTGTTTAGAATAGAGCATAACTAGATGGTCAACAATTTCTGATGTTTTGTCTATCATGTTTCATAGTCAGTGGGGGTCAACTTGAGCCCAAGGTGCAGTCCTTGGCTCTAGAAACATAAATGTGAGTGTTTTCAATCAAACTTAATGAAGCACACATGATATTGTGTCATATTTCACGTGCTTTAATTTTTTTTTTCGTACTTGCAGGTCCTGGAGAATGTTTTAATGAAAGATGGGTTAGTTTTATTGAAGGGTAATTACTGCTCAATAAATCACTAGTAATTCATTATAGACACGCTGATGAAAACTGTGTTTCTTTTCTTTGACTCTCCTCGCCCCCATCTACAGTGTCTAGTACAGAAATTTACACTCCATTTCTTTCTCTCTGCTCTACTGCCTGTCTGTCATTTTCTTCCATCCAGGTTATGGCAATCTAGGAGGTGGTGGTCTGGGAACTGGAGGCCACGGAGGAGGTGAGTGCATGTAGCCTGGAACTGAAACTGGAACTGGTGTTGTGTGCAAATGTAACATTTAGTTGGGTTAGAACATTATATTCTCACATTTTCAGTCAGTCTCACAAACACCAAAGGTTTAAATGTCTTTGAAATGTATGTTTTTCAGTTTACACTATACAATAATCCCACACACTCTCTCTCCTTTGCTCCTTTGTCTCATTTAGGTGGTTATGGTGGATATGGTGGAGGTGCTGGGGGCTTTTTCCCAGGAGCTGGACAGAAGGCTGCCAAAAGAGGTACAGTAGATATAAATGTAACATCTGTTTACTGTAAAGGGAGAGATGGCACCGGTTGTTGTTTTTGATGCCATGAAGGGAATGGGTTCATATTGATTGGTTGATAGTCTGTATTTAAATCTATAATTGCAAACTTTTGCCATGAGTAGCTCAGTCCGTAGGGACCAGCATGAGCCATAGTATTGAGTGTGGACTTCCGCCTCCTGGGCATTGCTGAGGTGCCCTTGAGCAAGACAGCTAACCCCTAACTGCTCCTGGAGCGCCGCTACGTAGCAGCCCATCACTCCACCATCTCTCCACATTTGCATGTCTATAAGCCCAATGTGTACATGATTGTATTTCAAAACTACGATTTTGAAGATATCAGTTACATTAGAAATCAGACATTGATGGTTTATTGTTTACAGATAGATAGATAGATAGATAGATAGATAGATAGATAGATAGATAGATAGATAGATAGATAGATAGATAGATAGATAGATAGACTTTATTAATCCCCGGAGGGAAATTGGGTTGTCATAGCAGCCAGGTACATTAAAATACAATAAAATACAATAGAATAAAATACAAAATAAAAAGATAAAAAAAGATAAATAGGTTGGTAAGGTGCAAAGAGTTGTAGTTGCAAGATGGTGGTAATAGTACTGATGACATGATGGTAGTGTTATTGTTAATAACAGTATATAATATTAATAATATTTATAATAATATAATAACAATATGTATATATAATATGATGACTGAACAGATATATTATTATTATTAGATATATTATTATTTTAATAGCTATGTAAGATTAATATGTGTGTCAGTTATTTGTAGGATTGAATTATGGCGTATTTTGTTTATGGATGCTTCCATTGCACCCAACAACAAGCAGAGTCATCACAAACAGTGGAGCTCTTTTCCCTAAATTTCGAAACAAACATTCCTTCATGAAACTCAAGTGAAAAACTGGCTCAGTGACTGTGATGGAAACTGGAGGTCATCAAGCTCAGTGATGGAATATTGGTTGTTGGAAGAAGACATTGATCATGTTCCACTTCCTTATTTTAAGTTTTTTATTTTGATGGCTGCAGAAATTTTATGTGGCTTTCCACTCTCAGTTTTGACCTTTCAGTAAAAATGCCTCAAATTCCAGGTATTCAAGTTTGGTTCTCATATTTTCTTTCTGGCTTGTGTTGAAAGATCGCTGCAGAGGTGGAATGGCCATGGCCATTTAGAAAGATTATGTCTTCCTTATGTCAAATTACCTCCAGCTCTTGAAAGTAAAAAATTGAAGCTATGAGTTATGAGTATAGGTATCATATACATTAACTGAAATACTACTGCTTTCACTATTGTTTCTGGTCATCTGCCTCCTGCTTTAGAGTAATCATGAGTATCAACTGGACAAATATTCAGCTTAGTTCTCTAAAATTAGTTGTTGTTGTTGTTGTTGTTGTTGTTGTTGTTGTTGTTGTTGTTGTGCTGAGACAACAACATAAAAAACATAATAATTCTGATAAGCTTCCTTGAGGGTTTTCCTCTAAACGTCTCATACAGACGAACGCTGCTCACATTCTGGTTATCTTGATCACAGGTGCCGGAGGCTCTCTGCTACCACATGGAGGTAGGCTGATTCTTGGCCTGAACACAGACTATTGTACAAACTTGAACTGTGCTGAATACTGACACAAAGCTTTTTAGATCTATGATAGATCTGCATGCTTGCATGTTATGAGAAAGCCAAAATGAATGTTTTGCATTAATGGTAACTCAGCATGAAAAACACTGTTTGGCAAACACATGTACATTTTTATCACGTACCTGCAAACCTTGGAGAGTTTTAAATTCAGCAGAGCCCAGTATAACCTTAAAGCCCTGTGTATGTGGACATGATTTGCTTTTAATTATGCAGGCTGATTAAGCATTGGACCCAGGAGGGCCCAATCATTGCCTGAGCGGCACTATGGCAAACAGCCTACTTTTAAGTATTGGTTGGCAGTGACAAACCTTCAGTCCCTAGGATCAGTCTGTACTTTCTTTTCATGACGCTCAAAATAACTAATTAATTCCTCCGAAAGAGCACAGATAAAACAAAGCATTCCCTTGCCAAACCTTTCCTCACCAAATCTCCCAGGCCACATACTTACAAGCAGTGCGCAATGTCTGTCCGGCAAGTATGGGGAACTTAAGATTAAAAAATGTTAAAAAGTTTAAACAAATAAAGCAATGTGGTTTATTCTGCTGCCAAGCTCCCTTACAAGCGAAGCTGACAGCTCATTTCCTGCACGAGGGGATAGCCAAAGAAATGAGGCATTTGATGAGGCAAGGCAAATGCCATGCATGCTGGCTGCCTCTCCTGATTAGATTAAAAGTCAGCCATGTTGCTTTTGATCATGGGGTGATGACAGACTAGTAGGGCCGGATTAGCTGCTCTCAATACCAATGGGGAGTCTAAGGATCTGGCTCCTTGCTGAAGAGGTCAAGTCTGACACAAGACGCACATCTGCTCATTACTCCTTTTCAGTATCACAGGGCCCTCTAGTGGTCATGGGAGGTACAACTATAGAATACTTAAGTTGTGAGGTTACTCTCATGTTTACAAATGTGTTAATGCCTCCAGTTTAAATGAATGTGAGTACACCCTCAAACCTGACACTGTGTATTTCTATGTTATAATTATGTATGTGCATTTGACATTCAATCAGGGACAGGAGGAGGTCCTGGAGGTACAGGAACTGGACCTGCAGTGCCCGCTGGAGGCAAGACACACAATCAACACATCATTCTGCCCATTTTCTCAGTTTTTATTTTATTTTGCACTTTTTATACTTGTCATACTTTGATCTCTGCCTCCCAAGGACTTGCAACGCTGTTAACCATTCCCTTTAAAATGCTTAACTTTAATATTTTAGGACAAGTACAACATTTCATACCCCTGCACTGGCTCTTTGTCAGGTATAGTGGAGCTGATTTCTCTGACGAGGAGCCAAATTGGGCTACGAACACAAGACTTCTCTGAACGTAATAAAGTAAAAATTTTAAAGAGGCCAGTTAACAGTGGTGTGAGTCTTTGGGAGGCAGGGATCACAGTTACAGTTGTTTGGACTCAGCACTTGGACAAGAAAGATGTGCTTATGTTTTTCACACTGTATATTTGTCATACGTTGTTCGATGAGCCAAGTAATGTTTAATCTTTTTTCCAGCACCTGTTATTCCTCAGACAGGCCTTCCAGGAGGGGCCGGTGGTGCTGGAAAGAAAGCTGCTAAAGTGCCAGGTCTTGTAGACTCAACAATAAACTCACTAAGCAGCAGAACCAGATCAAATTCATTTTCCATTGCATGTGGCCGATGTTCGGTGTGGCTAGAAATCTTCTGAAAAAAATTGCTAATTATCGGCAAAATTAAAAGCCTTTTGTTTATAAATCGATGTCTGTATGTATAAACAAAATCTACATACCGTACTGGAACTAAAATAAACTCAGCTTTATTTATATTGTACTTTAAAAACAGCAATGCTATTAAGATGTTTCCTTAATAGAGGATTTCACTGATGTCAATGAATCAATAAATAAGCTAACAAGTAGCCAGTTTTGTAAGATGCCAGCTGTGCTGCGTCCTGTCTGGTATTTTTTGTGGTAGTGTTTAATGATTGACAGGCAAATATATTTCCTGCTCATAAATTGTTGCATGAAAGATCTCTTCCACATGTTTTTATGTGGATGCAGAAGTGCAGTAATATCCTCTTGTTGTCTATGGCAGGTGTGGATGTGCCTGGACTTTACCAAGGTGGCCTGGTGCCAGGAAAAGGTTTGTCTCTTTCACTAAATGATCTCAGACACAATTTCTCAAGTGTTTCATCGTGTGAATATTGTGTTTGCAACCAAGTATTGTACAAGGATTTAATGTGGCTTGTTTTTTGGTTATTTATGGATTCTTCAGGGTTTGGTGGACGTGGAGTCCTGCCTGGGGTGGCCACTGGCACCGACCTGAATCCCAAATCAAGTAAGGTTTAGTTTTTTACTCATGAGTGTTGGCTGATTTTGAATTTCTTTCATTGCCATTGAATGACACTTCTTTTTTCTTGTATGAGCACTATTTTTCTTGCCTTAATTAAAAAAAATAAAACATAGGGAACAATACAAAGGTGAAATAATAGAAAAATATAATACACATTTACAAAATTTGTCAATAAACAATAATACAAAGATATCATTAAAGGAACACATAGAAAAACAAAAGGTAAACGAATAAATATGTGAAATGAAAAAAATAAATAAGGAAATGAAAAGTTGTCAGAGAACATTGTTTATACATAATGTTATTGGTCTGTATGCAGCTTATCCAAAGGGTACTGCCACCATGCACAGTGGTACAGGGTCTGTGTAGTTTTCAGGCCAGTGTTCAGTTATCTGTGTTTGTTCATTGCTGGTATTTACATTCAAAACTGATCTTCTGATTGGATTATGTGATTTCTGTTATGCAGTCGGAGGGGGAGGACAAGGAGGTCCAGGAGCAGGTAACTTTATTCATGATTATTGCTGTATTACAAACAAAGATATTTTTGTCACCATTATTGGTATAAGTCAATCAGGATTTAAATGTTTTTCCTTTGTCACAGGAGGTCGCGGTTATGGTGGACCGATGCAGCCAGGAGTGTTCCACGGATATCCCCTCAAATCACCCAAACTGCAAGGTGTGACCTAAATCTATACAGTTACTGTGTTGTTTACAAGTTGTATTCTTTTCTTCATATGATATGTTCAGTATTTAAACCATGTCGATGTTACAGTTCTTTTTTCTTTAGCATACAGACAGTCTTACTCGCCTTATGGCCTGATAACCAATGGGCACTTCTATGGGTACCGCCCTATGGTTTTCTATGGTGGGTTTATCACTGGTTGATTCTAGAGAGAGATTTCTGTCTTTGGGGCCCCCGATTGCTCCAAAAGCAGAACACTGCCTCCTTTGCCTGCTTTGTAGAGATTACCACAGCAACGCTACTGAGCAACATCCCGCAGTAGATGAGACAGTCCCAAATGCTGCTACTAAACTTTTCTGCAATAGAGTAAAGCGCCAACTCACCAATGTCCATCTGGGTATCATGATTTGCATAATTATTTTCTTACTACTTTTCTTTTTCTCTAATTTGTATCATTGTCCTCACATAATGAAGACTGTATTATCACTGAAATGTCATTTCTGTGTAAAACATACTCTAATTGGTTATTTTCAGGCCTTTTTTTCCTATATTTGATAGTTACAAGGAGATAATGATCTTCAGTAATATTGAAATTACTAAGTTTTCAACGACATATTCCATATTCCTTATGCAAGAATTATGTATAAAATGGCTTAAATTATTATTATACTGTTTGAAAATGAGAATTACAACACGGTTTGCAGATTGATAATTTTCAAATAAGGACTGTGTGATACGGGTAATATGGACACCACAGGTTCAGAACCACTGCAATCAGGAGGCAAGTGAATGAAGTCTTTGTTATAATGTAGGTTAACCATAGTTAAGTGAGCAAATTAATAAATAAAACAATTATGTGAGACACTTTCTGGTGCTACAATTGTGCAAAAAATGCAGCAAACTTAGATGTTCACAAACACACTAAACAGTATAGTTCTGCTGTAACAATTAACTATTTGCCTTAAATCTTAACTTTTACTGGGACCCACTAACCTCTTCAATGGATAACAGCTGGATTACAGCTGTTTCCACACATTTCAAAACAATTAAACTGCATTTTAATGTATGAGCAATGTCACAGATGGTTTATTTTAGCCTCAATGTCTCAAGGGTTTGTTTTTCTCTTCAGGTGGCCAAGGAGCAAAACCTGGAGGTGGAAAAGTACCTTTTGGTACAAATACACTTTTACATTTTTTCAAATATTTGGTGTAACTGGCATCACTTAAAATCCGGGGATTAAAGATGTGTCACATTATAATGTTTCAGGTTACGGCGGCTATGGTAATGGCGGGGTTGGACTTCCAGGAGGACAAGTTGGATCAAGGCCTGGTTATCCTGTTGGAACTGGTGTGTGTGTGTTTACGAACTGTTAACTGATATGGAGCAGAAAGATGAAAGACAAAAAAATGACTGATGTATTTTTGTCTTTATGCAGGAGTGGGGCCCGGGGGCATCTCACCTGCTCAGGCTAAAGCTGCCAAATATGGTATCCTACCACATTCATTAGCAAGACAATGCTAAGACAATGCTGTCCTGTCTAGACAAACACAATGCAAGTTGTGTATTATCAGTACAGGATGTATTTGTGTCTTGTATTTGTATATATGTACTTAAATCTGTGTCCTCTGCTCCAGGTTACGGTGGTGCTGGAGGGGTTGGTGGCGTTGGGGGCACTGGTGGACTGTATCCAGGGCAGGTGGCAGGAGGTATAATATCTGCAATCGACATAAAAACCAAAAAAATTAAAGCCTATAACCATGCTAGTGGCCTCCAAAAATGGAAAGTTTATTCCACACCAAGCAGAATTGTTGGATGGTGGAAAATATAAAAGATACTTTTGAATCTTAGATCCTTACTATGGTCTGCAATGTCATGGGAGGCCCAGCTATACTGAACATTGTCAGCTTTAATCTGTTAATACATTAGTACAACCATCCAAATATATCACTCTTAAACCTCACTAGCACGGGGTTAAAAAACAGATTTACTTTCATTGCCATTCCCTCTATTTTTTCTATGTACTTTAGTTGTAAAAGTATCATATATGCATCTCTATCTTTGAATATTTTACAGGAGGATATGGAGCTGCATCCAAGGCTGCTAAATATGGTGAGAACTTTTCTTTAGTACTTAATATTCCCTTAAATAAGAACCTCTCCATTTATATCGACCTGTTGGTTCTTCTGGTGTTCCCTGGACAGGTGTACCAGGGGGTGTACCAGGAGGAGTACCAGGGGGTGTACCAGGAGGAGTACCAGGGGGTGTACCAGGAGGAGTACCGGGAGGAGTACCAGGAGGTGCACCAATTGGAGTACCAGGAGGAGTTCCAGGATTACCAGGGTTTGGTGGATATTTACCAGCAGCTAAAGCTGCTAAATATGGTATGGTGTACACATGTCTTATCATATGCACTTTTTGAACTTGCACTATGAACTATGAAATTTGTCGTACAGAATACTTTCTCCGTGTGGAGTAATTGTGTTTTTATTATGTTTTATCTTGCCTTCCATTTACCACATACACTGAAGGACAAGGAGGGACAGGAGGACAGTTAGGAGCAGGAGGATATGGAGGACAAAGAGGACAGTTAGGAGCAGGAGGATACGGTGGACAAGGAGGACAGTTAGGAGCAGGAGGATACGGAGGACAAGGAGGACAGTTAGGAGCAGGAGGATACGGAGGACAAGGAGGACAGTTAGGAGCAGGAGCATACGGAGGACTGGGAGGAGGTGGAGGATATTCTGCTGCTGCTAAAGCTGCTAAATATGGTATGGGATTTTTATTTGTCAACTAAAGATAAAATTCAATCCAATTGTTTGCTTTACTCAAGTCTCTAATCTCAATGACATTACCTGATTAATTAGGATGTGTTATACAGATACTATATATACTACGTTGATGATTAACTTGTTTCCATACAGTCAATGAACTCACTTTTTAAACCAAATTTGTAGTAACATCGCTTTTCTATCGTCGGAGATGATCATACTAAGTCAGACAGCAACAACAACCCTAAAATCTCCTCCTTATCTAACTTACAAACATGTGTCTTCTCAAGCAACCAAACAAACATTCACTGTGGTAAAGAAGTGCACTGCTAGAACTTTAAACAGCATTTAAATGTTCCTGCAAATATCACCAGATCTGTTTTGATGCTGGTGTGGTCCCTCCTGAATACCACAGCTAAAATGATTACATTGATAATGATTAAATGATTCATTCTTGTATTAAAGGTCCAGGTGGTGCAGGGGTAGTTCCAGGTGGTGGGGCAGCTGGAGGAGCAATTCCTGGAAGAGTCCCATTTTTACCAGGATATGGATGTAAGCATTCCCCCACAGATACACTTCTACATGACCAATGAATACAATATTTCACTACTACTTTATCACTTTTTAATCTATCATATTCCGGTCATGTTGTGTTGCAGCTTTGGCAGCCGGTGCTAAACCTCCGAAATATGGTGAGACGTAGTGTAATTAATACCATGTCGTCCATTTCTCTTATGTTATTCTACTCACTGGTGTTTTTTTACAACATGTTGTTACATAAATCCAGTGTTACATAAATCCAAAGATTTGGAAAATTGAACCTTAAATTCATTAATACATTTACTTTGGTTTTCAAAAATGGTAATGACAGGTTGCTGACAAATTCTGGCAAATGTAATCTTTCATTCATAACTAGAGAGATTAGTTATTTATTTATTCATTTCCCAACAGGAGTCCCAGGAGCAGGCCTAGGAGGAGGCGGAGTTCCAGGGGGAGCAGGACAAGTACTTCCTGGCGGTGGCTATGGTGGTAAGTTGTAGACCAAAAGGTTTTGTACAATGAAAGGGCTTCTGCTGTTTGTTCTGCTGAATTATCAGTCACACACATTATGTTGCCTCCTCACAGGTTATGGTCCTGGAGCTGGAGTCAAACCCCCGAAGTATGGTAAGCCGTTTTGTTTAAGTAGTTTTTGATATTATTTTTGTGTTTTTGACTAATTTGAACAATCATCTTAATCATCTTTATGCTTTCTAGACCTTAAATGATATGCTATTAAGAAGAAGATGGTAGAGCAGGGGTCTTCAACTACAGAGTTAGAGTTTAGTGTCTAAGCTCCCTCATATGATATATATATATGATATATAAACATATCTATCCCAGATATGTTTATGATATGTTGGGTGTGCTTGGTAGGTGATTATGGAGAGTGAGGCATGTCGACTCCCTGAACTAGTTCTCAGGTGTCGCTCCATTTGTCCAAAGGTCAGAATTTTTCAAAGCAGTCACTGTTGGAGACAGACATAATGTTTGTTCCTAATTGGCCTATTGCTTAATATTTTCTCTTTCTTACGAAACAAATGACATTTGTATTTATCCCATCATTTCTATATTTCTGACCTTTAGATTTGATTGGTGTAAAATATTTATGCAACCTGCTTTATCTCCCTTAAATAGGCGTACCAGGAGGAGCTGGAGCAGGGCTGGGAACCGGAGTACAGGGGGGAGGAGGAGGAGTACCAGGACAAGGAGGACAATACTCTGCTGCTGCAAAAGCTGCTAAATATGGTATAATAAATAAGCACACCAACATAAATATACAAATATCACACATTCAGACCAATTAATAATCATTCTGATGGGAACTTTACAATTTTCAATAATTACAAACCTTGTAAACCCTGCTTACTTTACCTCATCGTATTTATTAACTGTAAACTGATGATGTGACCTGCTCCATTTCCCTTTATCAGGAGTGGCAGGAGGAGCTGGAACAGGGTTAGGAACAGGAGGAGTTCCTGGTGGACTAGGAGGGGGACAATACTCTGCTGCTGCAAAAGCTGCTAAATACGGTATAATAAATAAGCACACTAACATAAATATACAAATATCACAAATTCAGACCAATCAATAGTCATTCTGATAGGAACTTTACAAATTTCAATAATTACAAACCTACTTTTTTGCTTACTTTATCTCATTGTATTTATTAACTGTAAACTAATGTAACCTGCTCCATTTCCCTTAATCAGGAGTGGCAGGAGGAGCTGGAACAGGTTTAGGAACAGGAGGAGTTCCTGGTGGACTAGGAGGGGGACAATACTCTGCTGCAGCAAAAGCTGCTAAATACGGTTGGTGAAATGAGCACACAGATACATCCAGAGACATTTTCTTGTTTTTATGAATAAACTAATTCTTTCATTAATAATAAATATATTTTCTCACTTTATTTTATCCTATTGATTATTGATTTTATTAACATCTAATGATGGAAACTGCTCTTTCAGGAGGAGCTGGAGCAGGGTTAGGAGGAGGTGGGACGGGAGGAGGAGTTCCTGGTGGACTAGGAGGCGGACAATACTCTGCTGCTGCAAAAGCTGCTAAATATGGTATAATTAATAAGCACACTAACATAAATATACAAATATCACAAATTCAGACCAATTAATAGTCATTCTGATAGGAACTTTACAAATTTCAATAATTACAAACCTACTTTTTTGCTTACTTTATCTCATTGTATTTATTAACTGTAAACTAATGTAACCTGCTCCATTTCCCTTAATCAGGAGTGGCAGGAGGAGCTGGAACAGGGTTAGGAACAGGAGGAGTTCCTGGTGGACTAGGAGGGGGACAATACTCTGCTGCAGCAAAAGCTGCGAAATACGGTATAATAAATAAGTACACAAACACACACAACGCTCAGAAACATTCAAAGGTGTATAACTTAAGATAGGATATAATTACAAATCTTTATGTTATTGTATTCACCTTGTGTATGAACTGATGCTAATAGTTGTTTAATGTTTAGGATATTGTACTATTTATCCAACTTTCCCATAATCCCTAAATCAGGTGTGACAGGAGGAGCTGGAGGGACAGGAGTTGTACATGGAGGGGTTGGGGGTCAAGGTACTGCATGTGCATGTGTATGTAAAGATAGAAGAAGTATTATTATTTCACCAGTGTACAAAATATACCACATTAAGGTAGCTGTTCTTATCTTCTAATAAGTTATGCCATTTAATTGTTTGGTAAGCTTTTGTCATTCACAAACATTAATTATCATATCTAACACATACAAATATTGTTAAATAACAGTAAACACCAGATTAAAGGGTCAGTCCCTGATCAAAGAGCCCGGCTCCTATCCAGACCACAGTGATATTCAACCATCATACAGAGTGAAATACATTATAGAAGGAACAGATTCCAATTGTTCCACCAACAGAAGAACGCACAGGTTTTGAGATATAGCTGTGAATCTTAATCTAATGTGCTGTTGGTGTTGTCTCTTCATCAAAACAAGATGTCAAGTCCACAATAGAGTCTCTAGAGGGAAAAGTCTGAGACATTAGAGACCTTATTGTTAGAATTCTAGGAGGATACAAAACTTTTACTTAAGTTATGTTTGTATTGTAATGTAACAGATAACAGTGGGATCAATTTGCTGACCTTCTGTGTGTCACAGGAGGGGTCACTGGAACAGGACTTGCCGTGCCAGGAGCTACTCAAGGTACAGGTGTCAGTGTTGGTGCAGATGGTTCTGTTATCGTGATACCAGGTGGAGCAGGTGTTCCTGGAAAACCAGGTAAAGCTTATTTTCTTAGATGAGCCTTTTGTTGTACTTATTGTATTATTACAATTATTATTATTGCATTGTGAACAATGTTTTTATTGCTTTTGCAGCTAAGGATACAGGTTTTGCTGGAACCCCTCAACCAGGTACAGTGAAATGCCAACACTGCACTTCTTGGACATTTACTGTACACACACTTACACATGTTTTGCAGTATCTATATACAACGTATGAGAGCAGAGGGAGAAGTGCCATTTGCCCTCTATCTTGGGGTGACTACACAAGGGCTGCGCCATCATTTTATCCCATCTACATTTTCTTCATACATTTCCTGCCCACAAAGCTCACATGTTGTTTGTATTGCTAGTGCTACCAGCTATTGACCCCCTCTAGCTTACAGCCTCCCAGCTGTGGCAGTATCAAGGTCTACCTCACAGCTTCTGCATTTTCTAGTCTCTCTCAATCTGCGCCTGTTTAAAGAACAATGGATGAAACTGGAACCTGTTGTTTTTTGGCAGAGCCCACGCCTATTGCCGAAACTGGCAAGGCCCCAGAGGTCCCACAGCCCAGTAAGACTTGCGGTTTGCATGAAATCTTTGACCATGAAGTGAAATCTGTGGTATTTAATATATATATATACATATATATATATATATATATATAATTGGGATATAAATATGGGACAGTCCACTCAGTATTTGTGAATTGTGAATGATATTTCTCCCAAAAGAGACACCTGAGAATCTTTTGTTTATTCAAACACATGTTTTGCAGGTCTACATCAGCAGCATCCAGACTAAGCATATTAATAGTAACAGATTTAAATCTTAAAAGCACAATCTTTTCTCCAAATGTTAACAAAAGGCTAGCCCCACCACCTTTGGCTACATCCTACCAAGCTCCAATTACAAAACCAGTGATTTTACCACACAGATAATAGTTAAACACACAGTTTGATATGAATATGGTGGCAACATAATGGTCGTGATGATCAAGTCTGAATATTTTTCTCATCACATCCGCTATGTTTGTAACATTACAGAAAAGACAAAAATAAAGACAAGAAACAAAAGTAGTAGGGATGTACCTTAATATGGCTCAATATAGCCGATACCAATCAGTAAGAAAATGACTTATCGGCCCGATACGATCGTTTGTTTTACGTCAGCTGTCACAAAGGTGTTTTAACTGGCAAAGCTTTCCTTTGGTTTGAATAAATTCTTAATTTACAGACGTAGATATAAAGAAAAAGCCATTTAAGCGTCTCTTCACTGTTACACATGACGGACTCACATGCCCTAACATGTATGCGTGGCTAGACCAGAGAGGTAAACAAGACACAGACTACTACAGACCCAGAGGAGGTGTTACTACATTCTCTGCTTACGACACAATATCTTTGTTTGCTGCTATATTAATGTTCAAAATCTCATACATATATATATATATATAAAACCTCTAAATGTTATGATTTTTACCTTAATAACAGTTGTTCATCTTCTCAAATACTGTTTGGGTAAACTGTAGAAAACAGAAATGGATAATTTTACCACGTAGTATTCTACTTCATGTCGGGACTGTAAAGGCAGGCACTATTGTATTACTTCTTTCAGCATTACACAGGATCTAATAAGGGAATTTGGGGGTTTTGCCATCAGCATTGTGTGGTCTGTCAGATATCAAAACATTTACATATGACAGCTACAGACGCAATCCTTAAATGTCAGGCTTCATGTAGTGCTGAAAGAGAAATTGATATAGCCTGTCTGGTCCCTGCCACTTCCCCATCATGTCAGTTGTGGCCACAGGTTGTCTATTTTCACAACAGTACTTGTCTTGTGCACTCCTTTCCTTTTTACTAACAGCTCACTGTGCTTGATGGATTACATTCATGCGTTGTAATAGCAGTAATATTTTAGTGATTTCAAATCCAAAAGACGTGTAGAAGGTAGTGATAGATTAATACTGGAATGTCACCTTTCCACATTTGTCTACAAAAGTTTGTTTTGACAATATGAATGCTTGAACTTAGTCACTTTTTCCTGTGTGTTACAGTTCAGGTTCTACAGCAGGGGATTGTTGTGATATTGCCATGAAACTCACACGATCATAATGTGACATTTGATCTGCAGTTTGATGAGCTGTGAAGCCCCCGCTATAGAATACCACCTTGTAGTAGATTGTTGTTTCGTACGTCTGCTGTCTAACACGATTTTCTCCTCATGTTGAATGTTTGTTTTGTGTTATTCTGAAAGGACTTTGTTGTTTTTGTTCCTGTTTGTTCTTCCCCGTACCTCAATTTTCAATTTTAAAAGACAGTCTGACTAATTCTTCCTTTTTTGTTCTGTTTTTGTGCTCGTGGATGTGTTATAAACAGGCGGTGAGTTCAACATAAACATTTACTTTTTATTTTATGCTGTTGTATGTCTCAACCTCTTTTAATGTTCCTTTATTTCTGACTGTTTTTACAGTTTCTGGTGGAATTATTCATCCTAGCTGTAAGTTGTACAGTACATATGAAATTGTTTTTAATTAACCTGAATATATACTTACTGTAGATACAGTATCTTAACCTGATGATACTTTTTTTATTTCACAGCTGGCACAAGTGTTGGTAAATATGTAAAAAGTCTCTCATATTGAAATATACCAAAGAACACATAACAATTTAGTATTTTGTACAGGTTGTATTCAAATGTTTAAGTGCATTTATTTCATGTGTTACAGGTGGAGCAGGTGTCCCCTCACCCTCTGGTGGTAAGAGCAGTCATCATTTTCTTTCTTCTTTCTCTTTTTCCCAACAGTTTAAAATAGACAATTTACATATTAGTCTCTTCTCTCCTTCAGTTGCCACTGGAGGCCAACTACCTGGAGGTAGGCCAATATTTATACTTTTATTGATGTAAGAGCTCCATGTTGTTTTTAGCCCTTGAGAGATATTTTGATATTGAAACTTAATGGGATACCTTTCATCCATCTGGCCGCATGGTGGAGACAAAGGCAAATACAACAGTTGTGGTCATTTGTCCCTGCTGTAGTCTGTGATTATAATAACACTGCTGTTTTCAGGTGTTGGTGTCGGCACAGGCAGCAAAGCACCTAAACCATACAAACCAGGTAAATATGGCTAATATCTACCTTAAAAAGGCAAGAACATGTGTTAAATCTTGATTAGTTTGCACAATAATGTATAAAATGTGCAGCAGAACTGCCTTATATCTGGCTCACAATGCATTAACTAATCATTAAGTTGATCTTGCTCAATTATTTACCATAAAATGGACATTAGATAAATTGTAAATATAGGCACTGAATATTCTGCTTGACCATAAAATGAACTTTCCTTATCTGCTGTGGAGTAGAGGATCAGTGTTGCCTTTGTAGCTCTTTCTAAAATATCACAAAGACAGCACACAACATCTTAGATCTGTCCGGCCTTGTCAGAACATCCTAATGATGTTATCAATACATTCTTATGATCTTATACAGTGTAATAGATCATGCTTTCATATACTGGGCTGTATTTATTACCGTGCACATTCTTTTTAGACAGTTAATGACTCAACTTGAATCGATAAAAGCAGCAGTTAATATATAAAGAAAAGCTGCATCAGGCTTTCTTTACCCAATTATACCTCCAACAGACTGAACAGTCATCAGTTTTGTGCATCTGCAGGTTTGCAGTTTTGGGGTATTCTTTGCTGCTGTGCACTATTTTACCTGTGATTGACATTAGACCAAGTCCAAGGTTTTTTGTTGCATTTCATTTAGTTCAACTCAATCAGTCAAATGTCAGTTAATCTTATTGTTCATGAGAGGGAGCGCAGAAGCATCCATATAAGACAATAAAACAAACCAAGACACATTGAATACTAATGTTAAAATCATACAGCATGGGGTACAATAAATGTTAAAACATTAGATATTGTCAAGATAAATCGTTTTTATTACTGATTTGATGAAAACTAAATGGACTAATGATGATAGTTGATAGTAAAGTCTATTACATTCCTCTTTAAAGCAGATTTAGGATAGAGATCCATTGATTTTTGTGTCTTTAGTTTTTCCCTGAGAACATAATTGTTTGTGTTGTGTTTTTAAGAAGTAATTGAAGCTAATTTAATAGTAAGATGTAGTTAGAGACGCTTTGATTCCTCAGTGTAATGGAGAATCTTCTGTTAAATCTTGTGACTTCACACCTTTAGTTTTCTAACACTTTCTCTCCGAAGGCACTGGAGTAGGTGTCGGACCAGGCGCAGGTGGCTATCCCTATGGTGGACCCTATGGAGGCAAGTTCTCTATATTTTCTGCTTAACAATTATCGACTTTAGGTTTAAATGCAGCGACTATTACTTCTATCTTCTCTGTGCTTTAGTCCCTTACGGTGCTGGTACCGGCACTGGAACTGGACCTGGAGCTGCAACACTTCCTGGAGCAAAGCCGTTAAAACCTCCAGGTGTGTGTCTGTATGCGTGTATTTCTGCTTTAGGTTATCCAAAGTTTGTAGTAGTAGTAGTCCAATGTTTTTGGGATGTTTGTTTTATCTTTTTGCATGTGGAGACTCATACATTGTTGTGTCGTGTCTTTCTATTGCAGTGACTGGAGCAGGAGGTGGAGTAGGAATCCCACTGGCAGCAGGAGGTTATCAAGGTCAGAGCACACCTACATTTATTTTAACATGTAAAATAAAACTATTTGTGGACCTTAAGAACACAGAGCTGTCAGTTATTGGGGAAACACCAAGCATGAAAAGTAAAACTACTGCTTGTTTATTTCTCACGTGTTTTTTTTAAAATTGGAATCTATGCCATTTCCTGGATGAGCCAGCCCCTGACACAAACTGTGAGCTGACTTACCAGACAATAATGTTACTTTTCTCTGTCATCACGATTCAGGGGGATACAGGCCATATCATCAAGGTTATGGCCAGGGTATGTATGAGAGGAGAGGAGGATGAGCGCACTAATACACAATGTTCTGCCCAGTGCTCAAAGTGACAGTTGGTCATGAGATGCCATCGCACTGCACTTCCTGTGCAGGAAAATTAGCCATCTGATAAGTGTGTGTGCGGGGCATAGAGTCAGGAATGAGAGACTAGCTGGATACTTTGATTAAGGAAATCTGGTGGTTTTAGTGGAAGCAGTGTTTATTTAGAGTCACTAAACCTGTGTGTGTGTGTGTGTGTGTGTGTGTGTGTGTGTGTGTGTCTCTCTCTCTCTCTCTCTCTGTGTCTTTCTCTCTCTCTCTCTCTCTCTCTCTCTCTCTCTCTCTCTCTGACAGGTGGGTTGACATATCCCTCTGCAGTTGGACTGGGAGGAGGTGGTGGAGGAGCTAAAGCACCCAAACCAGGTAGTGTAACAGGAACACAGTGTGGTGAGCCCCTTCAATAAAAGTAACATTAATAATAGTAATGTGTATAGCTTATAGCCATCGAAGAGCTACATAGCTTGTATGGCTCCAGTCAGTCATAAAGAAAGCACATGTATTAATTAAGTTTAACAATGGCAGCAGAAAATCTGCCACATTAGTTATGTAGTTTAAAAAAAGCACAAAATCCAGCTCCACCAAAGGCAGTAATCCCTGTAGTGTTACATTACCGTTAGGAGTTTGTAAATGGAGCAAGTCAACAACACATTTCCTGGTGGAGGCTGATTACTGTTAGTAATACTGGGTACAACATCAAAGTGTGACTGTTTGAAGATAACAAACCCCTGGAGAGTCTGGCCCTGGAATAGCAGAACTCTGCCAGAGGAAGTTTGGATGAGGTTGTAACTGTGACCTCAGTTGGTCCACAAGTCAATTCAGTTGGGGGGCCAGACCCCTAGAAACCAAATGTGGGACAGTTATTTTATTTGTGTGAGACCATGTGGGACATACCAACACTGAGAGGTATTCTAAAATGTTTATATATCTATCTAATTTTAAAAAACTGTAACATCTCTGTGCTTTGCCCTCTGGTTGATTCAGTAGCACACAATAGACTATGCATGTTACAGGTTAGGCCTTTACCATGTGAAGGACTTAACAAACCGGTTTTATTTGAATGCAACTTTACCAACTCCCACACTAAGTAAATACAGTAAGCATTAAAGGAAGCTTACATTTCTGCGCCCATCTGTGATACCTTCGAATACAGCCACTGGATAAACAACAGATTTTAGAAATTTGATTTGACAATCAAAATGTGGGACATTGTCTCAATATTTGGGATGTGGGACACCTGGTCACCCAACAGTTCAGGGGCAAAATAGAAACAAAAATAATGGTCATAATTGTACTTACTGTACACAAAACAATGAGAACAGACACATAATCACAATGACTTCTTTATTAACAGGCTACGGCAATCTTGGAGGTGGTGGAGGATATCAGCCAGGTGAGGATCACCACGTTTGTTCAATATATTCTGTTTTTGGAGTTAATAAAAAATGCACAATAGTGGGTCAATGTGGCACACACTTCATTTCAACTGTCCACAACACAGTTTATACTTGGTGCAGTGTAGCCTTTGATCCAGCCTCTCCTCCTCCTCTTCCTCCTCCTCCTCCTCCTCCTCCTCCTGTTCTTCCTCTGCTCATCAGTGAGGGATGAGTGTAATCACACAGCAGCAGCCTCCTCTCACTGCTCTACAGACACTGTACAGGCTACTCATTAAGACCCATAGCCCTAATCCTTCTCCCAGTGGCCACACAGAAATCTCTATGTGTGAAATGCTTCCACACATCCTTTACAAACCAGTACAGTTTGCCAAATGGAGAATTATTATTGGCAAATTAGGTCAATTTGTCATATTAAAGTTGTTACTATGTTGTTTATTTACAAATATTGTTGCTTTACACTCTTGAGTCTCCATGGTAACTGATTTTTCATTTTCCAGGTGCGGTTCCTGTGGTACCTGGTTATGGAGGAGGTTACGGAGGAGGTTACCCCCAACAGTACAACCAAGGTAAGAGTACTGCACAAAGGAGATGATCAAACTTTCACTTTGCTGATGAGGATCTGACGGATAGATACAGAATACACCACACATTATATTTGTGTTGATGGTAAACAGCGTTCTGTGTTGTTTATCAGTCATGAATCAGTGGAAAAGGACCCAGCAGACAACAGAATAGAGCCACTAATGTTATAGAGGTGGAGACAAGAGAAGAAGACAGTAGTAGGATGGTGTGTGAATATTTGATTCAGTTTAATGTTGATTTGTTTTATGATCTGCTTTGTGAAAATAGGCTTTAAGTTTTTAAGCCCTTTTCATTCATAATTTGTCGTCATTGTTTTTCCTGCTTCTGGAAGCCAATCTTTAACTCTCAGATAAGTTAGCTGGCATCCAAACTGCCTCCACATAGACGAGGATTTAGAGAACAGACGATTCTTAAACTTTTCATCCTTGTTTCTGGATCAGGAGGCGGATTAATGCCCAGCTGCCAACAGCCAGGTAACACAGCGTGATGAAAGGACAGGAAAACTGACCCGTTGCTTCCCCCTTTAGAGCTGAGAGCATAAAGAAAGGAAGAGAAAACTTGTGCACAGTGACAGGAAATCTTACTTTCCCCCAATTTGTTAAGATTCTTCTCATCCGATTAAGGAAACCACATGTTGAAAATATTAGTTTAAGGCTCATTTGCCATTATGTTGTCCCCCTTCTCTCCTTCCCTTTATGCCAGACACTAAACTCAGTGCAACTCCAGCTTCTCCACATTTCCACTATGTGGGGTTTCTGTGTGATCTCCTGTTAAATATGTTGGTTCTTTTTTTTTTTTTTTACCGTTTTACTAGTTGATATACAGTAACCTCAACACTGTTCATCTCACATTAAACTTGAAAAGTCCTGCGTTTTTAACTTTGCTCATAAATACACATACATTTCTGATGACACAAATTTATTGACAAAAATACTTGATGTTCGCTTGATTCCTTTGAGCAAAATGGAAATGAGGGCTTTTCAATTTTAACATAAATTAATTTATATTTAATTTCTCACATTCAGCTTGTTAACACACATGGGAGGCTGACTTTGAATAAGGGAATTAAATTGTATTTGAATGAGACGACCTGCATTTTTCTCCTCTGAGCATCCAATTACATTAGAGAAATTAATTGGATTATTATTATTGGACAATGAAACAAATTACAATATAATGGATGTTTAACGCAATCTTTGTAGCAGCAGTTGTGGAGGAAGACAGGTATCAGCAGCATAAGTGAGCAAAACCTAAAATGACTAATCTGTGTCTTTTAAGGGCGAAATACAGACAAGAAAACATTACTTTGTGGGCAAGTCTGGTTACTTGAGAGAGCATCTCTGGATGAGACAGCTCAGCTTCAGATCTAAGTGCCTCCCATGTGATCTACTCTAATGTCGACAGGTTTTCCCACCAGGACACACATATATCAACCACTGTGACAGATCCATAGTGGTTTCAATTTATCATTAGTGCTAATGGCACCATCTCATCTCTCATTTGTCTTCGTCTTTAATGTTGTCTAGGTGGATACGTACCCGCCCCACTGACTCCTCAACAAGGTACCAAACCTCCTCACGTCTCTCCACGTACCCAAAGACACACCACATTATGAAGGGATAATAAGTCATCTCAGTCATACAAGAGTCCCCTGCACCTCAACCCATTTTCCAATTTCTCTCTCTGCTCGTTGGCAGAGGATGGCAACATGTCAGATTATTCAGATGAGATTGGAAAAGGGTGGAGTGTGGGTTGGTACTGTGTGTGCTTGTCGGTGCAGATGGCACGGCACAACCAGTATACATTATAATCTGCGTTTTCCTGAACATCTGAGATTACTGCCAGCTGGATTATTTCAAGGAGAGCACGCCTGGTTTCTTAGATAACTATATTTTACTGGTTTGAACTCTTGCAGTGTCTGAGTTACTGATGACCTTTGATGGTGTGTTTAAATGTAAAGAAAGTAAATGGTTTAATCTTGAATAGGATATCATCAATTCTCTCTGCCAAATGAATGATGGCTCAGTTTAAAGAGGAATGAATGAAACTAATCCTGTTAATTTCAGATGTCACAGGGAAATGAAATCTGTTGTTTCTCCATTAACAACCAGTTGGCCCTGACGTTATTGGCCTGTAAGATGTTTTTGTGAGCCAGTCAAACAGTCTGCAGTCTGGTTTATAACTGCCAGCAGTGCAAATTATGGACTGGAGTGACAATTGAACTTCACATCATAGAGAAGCCTTTGACTGTATGTCACAATTTGACTAATCTTATTTCTGTCTTGTAAAGAGTAATGAAACTCCCAAACATAAATAATCTTAACTCAAGCTGCTTACTAGCTTTCCAAAGTCCATCTGCTGATAAAGACAAAGATAAAGATAAGTGGACCTCACATTGAGACTGTAATGTCAAACTACTGTTCCCAAGGTCAGGCAGATAAATACTATATACAAATTCTTAACAAGGCAGGTATTGTTTCAACAACAGGATGAATGCCATTATTTTGATGGTCTCCTTTTTCGTACATCACTGACCTTATTAACAGTATTGAACATCCACTCACACAGTGCAAGTTGCTCTGTATCTGCCACCATCGTCAATCATTTCATCTACAGCACCTGTGTTTGGTTCAGTGGTAGAGGACATCAGTAGGCCCATTGTCTTTAATGTGTAACAGCTTCTTTGAGAGGCTTGTAAGTGCAGTATATATATGCTGGATGGATTGCTTCACTCAGCCTTACCAGCAGAGCACTAGAAGAGCTTTTTTGGTTAAAGTAAACATCACACATCTTACTGGCTGTTCCTGATCCTGTTTTGCAGCTAAAGCAGCCAAGTACGGCCCATTGCAGGCTTTCCTCGGTGGTGGAGGAGGAGGAGGAGGAGGAGGCATCTACAGAGGTAAAAGACTTACACATATTTGACCTTTTCTCTTACTCCAGAAGCCCGCTACATCACAAATATTACAGATATGTGTGTGAACTTATGTCCAGCTTAGAAAAGACTTAACTGTAATTCTGCTGGTCTTTGCTGCAGGTGGCGTCGTGGGATGCCAGGGCAAATACTGTGGGAGGAGGAAGTAGAGGATCTCTTGAAATCCAGAGTGACCTCGAGAAACCATGGTGCTACTGCATGATCTAGAATGTACATTTTATATGCAAACAAACCCCATTAGAAATCATGTAAAGATGGGTTGTTTTTTTTTACTTACTTGACTTCAACGTCTGTTTTTATACAAACCCACCGACCCCGAATTTATTCTGACGTGAGGTATGTTATTGATGGTGCCATTAATCATTAATGTGGTCAAGTTAATCAGCTTTAACTCCCAGTACTGCACCAGCCTACTCACAATACAAAGAGTGTGTTTGTGTCACCATGTTGTTGTTCTTGTGCATGAATGTGTGTGTGTGTGTGTGTGTGTGTGTGTGTGTGTGTGTGTGTGTGTGTTTGCATATTGGTTGTATTGTTGTGCGAAAGACTGTCTGAACCATTGGCTGGCAATGTGACCTATGAATGATTTCCCTTTCGGTTTTAATCCTAAAGCAAGGTGAACTGTCCGCTGTGTTACAGTCCTCACTGTTTCACCTGGCTGTGCAGAGCTTGTCACCTCTCTGACACGACACAAGGGTTGGGTCGGTCCAGGCTCGTCCAAAAACTGATGAAATCTGGCCAATCGCAGCATCGTTTCTGGCTCCCTGTCTTCTCCGCTGCTATTTTTAGACCTGCTGGGTATAAAGCAGCGGGAATTGGGGCTCCGGCCAACCCATCTGCTCTCAGTAACTTTGCTGATTCTGGTTGCTATGCAGTTCAGTTTTCTCAGCATTTTTAGTGTTGCCAAACTTGTGATGTATGAAGAGCAGTTTCTGCTCTGAGGAAGGGTATGCTGAAGACAATCAAAAAAGTGTTTGATTCATTAAGGGATGTTTGTAAACCAAGGGAAAGTAGTGTTGCCTTTTAGCTCCAAGTAGATTCAAATGTATTTCAGATACTGTGGCATGTACATTGTGTATGTATGAATGTTTAATGATGTGTCACTGTCCTAAAGTCTGGGATAGAGTGCTTTAGTCTGCTTCAAATGTTTAGTCTCATTGCAGCAGTTATTTACATTTATGTAACTTGTGATTATTCAAGACTTTTTGCACCATGCTTTGACTCATAGCTTTATTGTTATCAGGAACATGTGAATATAAAACAAGAACTTTCCTTCTGCATTTATTCACTGTTTAGAATTCTAATACAGAATAAGACTTTGGTTAATGGCTGTGTTTATGTGAGGCACAAGCTCCCATTGTTCTTCATTTACTTGAGCTGCTTTTAAAAAAGGCTTACTGACCTTACTGAGGTTCATGAGCGCTGTTGCCAAGTGACCCCATCTCTTTCTGTAATTGTGTACTGTATGTTGTACTAATTTGATGTTAGCTGGCTTCAGTTCCTCCACTCTGTGCTGAGTAAGGACTGTCCGTGAGCCTCGCTGGGTCAGACCTTGTCTTATGTGCCGTGGGATACTCTTCATCTTTATTTAAAACTGTTTTTATAAGGAGGAACAGTGTGGTTTTGCACTTTTTATATTTCCACGACACACATGTGACTTGTTCCCGGATATCCTGGCATTTTTATTTGCTTCATTAAATAACAAAATAAAATGTGTTAAAATATGTTGTGTCATTCTGTGTTATTTTCTCTCTTTAAGTGCATTCCACAGCAGCAGCAGCAGCTTGTGCTGTGAGTTGATCAAAACCACCTGGACTAGGGTGTCCTGGTGGATTAGTTTGCCACATACCACGTAGTGATAATGTCTCAGGTTCAAGTCCTGACTGCTTTTGGACCTTTGCTGCATCTCAGTTCTGCCAAATCTTTATTGTCTCTCCCTTTGGGCAAAAATTAATCAGACTTAGTGTTTTTTAAAATCTGGTATGTGTGATTTGGCTGAGCTCTTCATTGTGATGACAACAAACCCAGATTAAGGGCAGAAATTTCGTCTCAGTGGTGACTATAAACTCTGTTCTTGTTATGCCAGCTGGAAATAATGAACTCATGTTGCTGTTCTCTGAAGATCTCCTGGGAGAACCACTGACCCATGATCTGCATCCTGTAGAAGTAGCTCACACTGTTGTTTACGACCTTTAGTCCAATAATGTGCGACAGTGTCACTGTGGAACTGCAGTATAATGCTACGATAAGTTTCTCTCTTGGTATACATACAGTATATTTCAATAAAACTACCTGTCACAAACATTTCCGCCTAGACTAAAGGAGATGTCTGACATGCTGTAATAATTAAAAGTCACCACCAGAAGGTAACTTGGTACCAATTACTGGGAACATAGAGAGACAGTTCTGGGACTGACTGTCCTCAGATTGCGTGTTGTGTTTAAATATTGATTTCATTTTCTTAAAAGACCCAAATAAATGTTTATACATAATTAGTTTTAACTTATTCCTCCATATTTGTTGCATTGTGTGTCTGAATGTAGAAAATCTCACATTTTCAGCTGACCAGCCTTGCACTGAAAGATTCAACTACATTCAGACTTTAACTCTTCAGCTACTCCATCACACTACATCATCATTTCCACTGCAGCTGACATTTTACTGCTTGAAGTACACATGAACTGACATTTCAGCTGCTTTCATATCTACTTTAACAATCTGACTGCTTTTATATTTACATTTTAACTAACATTTCAGCTCCTTTTATATCTAGCCTATTCTTTATCATTTTAACTGCTTTTATATCTACTTTTTAACACTTCAACCACTTTTTCTCTTTCGCTTCATCAAAATCGTCTGCTTGCATATCTTAATCTAGAGGAACTGTCGTCTTTTCTAGCTGAAACTGACACAGCCGGAGTATAAACGAAACTAAACTATGAGTTATTTTGTAATTACTGAATCCACCGTGGTGTTTACTGCCGCCTCCCTCCTGACCCCTCCCCTAAAGAAATGCATTCATTAACCGGGGAGTGTTGCTGGTTGGCCGACCGTCTCTTCCTCTCCCCGGCTCAGCAGCCTCATTGGCCAGCAGCTCTCTTGAATGAAGCGCCGCAGAAACGTGCAGGCAGGAGGAAGCTGTGAGGGCCGCCGCAGGGAGCGACCGACGCACAGCAACACGACCGCCGGGGCAGGCTGCGGTGGTGGTCGGACACCGGTTATCTGTCGACCAGAGGCGGCTGGCTCTCTCGGTGTCGGAGAGTGAATGAGGTTGATGCTGCTCTGCTGCACCTGGAAGGACGAACGCATGGGAGAGGAGGAAGGTAAGGAGCCTGCTGGGTGTGAGGAAGCCGCTGGCTGCATGCGGCGGCGGCTGGGCGGGAGATGCAGAGACAGCAGATGCTCCAAACACAAGAGGATGCTCAACCGAAAGCGGCTGTAAACAGCATGCTCTGCGCGCTGGGGTTTCCTACTTTGGGTTGTGCATTTTATTGTCAGGCATGCACCAGACAACAGTGTGGCATCGGTGTATCTGCAGGGAGCGTCAGGCTGGATGTCCATATTGTGCTGCAACTGAAGCCATATTTTCTCTCCGAGTTGATACACCCGTTATGTTTGGATGCAGTGTTCACCCCCGAGGCCATGCACAGTGCTCATTTGCAAGTAATCTTCTGAGATAGCCAAATATATTATGCTTATAGACAGGTTGTTACATTAACAAGATAAAATGAGTACAGGGGTGCAGGTGCAGGGTGATTCGTGCAAAATAACACCAATAATAAGGTGCAACATAATCTAAAGGTCCTACAAAGTTGAACGTTATTAGGGGGCATTTTCTTGATCTGCAGCTGCACTTCTAATAATTTAAATCCTCCCAACTTTCCTCCTCTACATGATTGTGTATGGATGGTTTAGATTTAATAATGGCAATCAGTAGATAACAGCTTTTTATTTTATTCTAGTTTGTTGAAAGGAACATTAAATGCAGAAATCAACCTCCCTTACAGCACATTGAGAGATAAATGAGGGAGGGAGTCAATAAAATAATGACAGTCATGCCACACAATGTAATGGTTGTTTTTGTTTTTGTAGATTAATCTCTAATCTTTCTTGTTATTACTTTATTATTTTACTTCTCCGGGACTTTAAAACAAGGAAACATGTAGATGTTGTTTATAAAGGTTAAAAACAGTCGCTGTAGAAAATGCTTTGGTTTTTTATCACTGTGTAATACTTCTGCACTGAGGTGTGATGTTACTGTGTGTACATGTAGAGATACAGTACGCTCTGTGTGATTATCCAGCTGCTGATCAGTGAACTGTAGCCGAACTTAACAGCAGACCTTTTATGTGATGACTCACTTTGCATTGCAGTGGATTTGGCTCATCTGTAGGAGGAACTGCTGCAAGTTTCTGTGAGAAATGAGTTGGGAGTGGTGGGGCAGTACGTCCTGTACCTGCTCAGGTTATGAACTGTGTGTTTGTGGGCCTTTTATTGAGGTATTAGTGTCCTCTCTGAGACCTCTGCAGACAGCAGAGTTCAAGAGGACACTCCAGTGTCGGGGGAGAGAAATGCTCCATAATAAAAAGATGAGGTGAAGTGAGAGGAGAGGAAAGGCATCAGCACAAATCAGACCTGACTAGGAGCCAGTATGATCAATTAAACTACTACAGCAGGACGGCTCGTTCAGGCATTACAGTAATGAGCCGACCGCACTAAACCTCTGCCAACACAGCTTTCAAATCGAAAGGATGGACGAATAATGAGAGCTGCAACGGAACATTCTCTTGTGATACAACCTCAACACACTGGTTTTACACCGGCGCCGATATCCAGATGTTGTGCTGCAGGAGGCAGAGGTGTCTTTGTTCGAACTGATTTAACTTGACTTGTTTTGAATTTGAGTCGATGACAAGCAGGTGAATGTTACTGTAAATGTAATAAGTTCAATATGTGATCGATTGGTATGTTTTACTTCTCAGTTACAGATTTATTGCCAATAATAACGACCCCACTGTTATTGTGGGTAATGCGTTGTCATAGTAACCGGACCTGATGTTTCCCAGAGCTTTTCAGATGTTGAAAGTTTCATTCTGTTGAAATAAAATCTGATTTTATGTTTAAAAAGGTGACAACGTGCACTTACTGTTACTCTGATGTGACAAAGGGGCTTTTATTTTTAAAGAGTGCAGCAGGTTGAGGATCTCAGGCAGTTTGAGAACTTGTAGACGTTTCCAGGTTTCATGAACTCGAGAACAAGAAACTCAGCAGTGATGCCAATAAGATGTCAGAGCAGTCCTGCTGACATCAAACAAACGCACATTTGCGAACAGAAAAAGGATCACCAACTGCCCGTCGGGTTTATATTTGTCATTACATCTCGATGCCTCATCCCCTCCTGTTCAGGATGTGAAGGGCTTGTGATGTATTCACAGGCAAATGAGCTGTGGCATCAAATATATCTGCGGTATCTAGCCATCACCTTATCCTTTCCAATGAACAGATTTACATAAGCAGAAAACACACACACACACACACACACACACACACACACACACACACACACACTGCTGCTCTCACTTTAATGCATTACAGAATTAGTTGTTCCAACCCTACGAAATAGCTTTTTATTGTAATTACCATTTTCCTCATTACAGAATGAGAGGATCATCTTCTGGAAACAGTTCTTATCAAACTCTGTTCAAGTTGAAGGAGAAACAAAAGTTTCTGTGTTTCTTCAAAAGAAGTGGAAGTGTGTTGTTGGTACTTTTGAGCTTAACTGTTAAATATGAAAGTTTAAAGAAAACTTTTCTGGCTCCATTGACACCAAAATCCTAACAAATCAGTCGTTACACCCTGCTGAGTAGCACTCTCATTAAAACTGCAGGTCGGCTGTCTGTGGTGGTGATGAAGAGCCTCTGTGATGTGTGTTTGATATCTGGAGCTTCAGTGAGTTTTATTAACTAACGGTGGTGATTTGCATTGGAGGCGATACGATGACGGTGATAACAGTCTCATGCAAACACACATCAGTAAATTATTACATCTCATCAAAGAACTAACTAACCCTAACTTTTATTGGTTTTATGCATAATGAGCTATAAAGTGGTGAATGTGCAGTGCAGCCTTTGACCTCGAGTGTTACTGTTGTTGCAGCTGGAGGAAGTTTGCCCGTCTGTGCGGGATGCAAACAGCGGATCTACGATGACCAGTACCTCCAGGCCCTCAACACTGACTGGCACACTGTCTGCTTCAGGTATGTTCAACACAAACTCAACACGCCCAACACGTTAACAATAACGTCACAAGTTCACGTCTGTAAAGGGTAGCGCTGGAGTGGATGAATAAATGCATGAGTGTATTTCATCCCCCATCTCTCTCTCTCTCCTCATTTTCTGTTATGTTCTTACTGTCAGCGGTCCAATAAAGGCATCAAATTACCTTTGATTGGACTCGACTCGTAATCGATAAATAATCCCAGTCATTTTTCAAATCAAAAATATCAAACATTTGCTGGTTTTAGCTTCTCAAATGTGAGGATTTTATGCTTTTCTTTGTCCTAGATGACAGTTGATGGAATAACTACTGTTTTTAGACTGTTGGACAAGCAAAGTTTTTTTTTTTTTACTATTTTCAGACTGTAAAAAATTCGGCACATTAAATATTAAATATCTCCTCCAGGCCTATATTAAGACATACATACATATTTTTAGTTAATAGTTTT